ACCTTGATCTGCCACTCCACGAGGTCAGCCCCCGTGACCATCTCTGTGACCGGGTGCTCCACCTGCAACCTCGTGTTCATCTCCATGAAGTAGAAATTCTGACCGGCGTCCATGATGAACTCCACCGTGCCTGCCGAACACGAAGTATGGTGCCGTGAGACACGGCATCACCGTACTATACAGTATAAAGTGTACAATAACATTCCTGCGCGTCGTAATCTCATTGGGCCACAATTGAAACTAGACAGAGGGCACTCACGGAGAGTGCATACCTCCGCCAGCAACATAGCTCGTAGCAGCCGCTCGTTCCTGCTGCTCGCTCACATGTACACGCTCGCTGCGCTGGCTGGCTTGCTCGCTGACGCGCTAATATCGATCGCGCGAACACACACACACGAACGCACAGACCCGATCACATAAGCTCCCCTCCACTCCGTGGGCGGAGGTAAAAATATTTGTTTCCCCTCACCCGACCCAGGCTGAAAAGTTTGGGTAGGTAGGTAGGCGTTTTTCTTTTTTTGAAGAGGGGTCTTTTTACAAATTCAGCATGGTGTCTACATGCTCGGGTGTGCTTGTGTGGAGATACCTTTTATGTTGAATGTTTGTTTTGCTCGGTACATATAATTTATTGCCTACAGATTTATATAATGTACAGCGATACAATTTGTACAAAAAAGGGGGACGGCAAACAAACAATATTTTTATTATGGCCTTGATTGCTGTGTGTGTTGATCGACTATGTGTAGACTGACCTCATATACGTCCAGTTTTCACGCGGTTTTTGTTTTTACACCCTGCTCACAGTAAGTCTAAACACCGGTAAGTTCACCGTGCCCGAAATTAGTCATGGAAGTGAGCAGCGGTGGGCAGAAACTGGTCAGAGTTGAGCAGAACTGGGAGAAACTGATCAGAATTGAGCAGAACTGGGAGAAACTGGTCAGAGTTGAGCAGAACTGGGAGAAACTGGTCAGAGTTGAGCAGAACTGGGAGAAACTGATCAGAATTGAGCAGAACTGTAGAAGAACTGGGAAACAACTCAAGGTGGCAGCCAGGCAGTACCGGCTCCTGCGCAAAGATGTCGACGACTCACCGGCTCCCACGTAGTCCACGGCCCTCGCTGCTTTCACCGCCGTCTCTCCCAGTTCTCGCCGCACCGCCTCCGATATCCCTGGCTGAATAGTAGTAGCATTTTCAGACAGGTATCCATTATATAGAAGTCACCCACTTCTAAGTGTAGTCACACTTTGAAGAGTCACTAACAGACTAACGCAAGAATGACTGTCACAGGGGTAAACCGTAAATGATCTCAATATGTTGAAATTATTTCACCCCCTCGCTGTTGTATGCAGCAAGTATGGACGGTCATGGGGACGACACGATGATGCACCAAAGATACTATCGAGAAGAAGACGTTATAAAGGGTAACGCACCAAAGAAATTATCGAGAAGAAGGTGGAGTCAAGGTAGCGCACCAAAGAAATTATCGAGAAGAAGATGGAATAAAGGGTAACGCACCAAAGAAACTATCGAGAAGAAGATGGAATAAAGGGTAACGCACCAAAGAAACTATCGAGAAAAAGAAGGCGCAGGGGGTGGAGGTATACGTACTGCAGGCGCCTCTTCAATGATCTTCTGGTGGCGCCGCTGCACGCTGCAGTCTCGCTCGAACAGGTACACGTAGTTACCGTGCTGGTCGCCGAATACCTGGACCTCAACGTGCCTGCGACACGCGGGCGAGAAAACGCTCGGTTACGCCGCAACGATCGAAAAGAGACGCTCGACTCGAGATATCGCGCAGACGTCGTGTGTACTCTTTATTTAGGAATTACAGGTGTACTCTGGTGTAATCGCGAACTAACGTTGGCAGTAGGCCTGCCGCAAGAGTTCGAATTACTGCCGTAAGTGTGAATTAGCGGTGCCCTTACAGCAAGCATTCTCGTGTTAGTTTAGCTTCGGAGAAATTAATCCGTTACAGACGTCCCAGCGTTAGCTTTGACAGCTCAGACTTAGCTCATATTAGCTCAGCCCTACTCGAAGGGGGAAGCGGGAATAAATTAACGGCAGACCCTGATTGATTTCCCTAAGTGATTGATTGATCGATTGAGTTGATTGATCGATTTCGCTGAGAGAACCGTACCTCGGCGTGGCAATGTATTTCTCAAGCAGCATCTCCTGGTTGTTGAACGACTTCAGGGCTTCTCTTCTCGCAGACTCCAGCTGCTCCTTGAACTCCTTCTCCGACATCGCGATCCTCATTCCCTGCGTGTGGATGCAAACGCGCTTCTTTAGGATTTCACATTAATACATTCTTCATATTAACAAGAGCGGATAAAGAAGGAGAGCGTACAACAGTGAAATGCTGAAACCATGTTACAGTATTAGTCGAATTAATAAACTTGTCCCGTTTTATTTTGACGATTCATTATTGATCAGCCGTCCTACCTTGTTAATATAAAACAAACCGCATGTCCCTACGATGCCCCTACGCTGAGATAATGAGCGGTGAAAATCGGGTATTTTCGCCGAAACCCGACTCGAGATCACTGTTTACTGCGACTGTCTCTCGCTTTGAGATAACTTCGGGAAACCTCGCGTGTTTCCGTCAATAATTGACAAATGGAATGAATGACGTCTGTTATTGATTGCCATAGTGATGACCCCCACCTGTGCCCACCTCACGCTGGATGTATAGTAAACTCTGTAGTACTGATGTGAGTCAGCGCTACCATGGCGCTACTCAGCGGCGACCGGAAGCAATACACTGGCCACAAAGCAAGAGAGGGTCGCAGTAAACAGTGATCTCGAGTCGGTTTTCGGCGAAAATACCAGATTTTCACCGTTCATTATCTCAGTGTAGGAGCATCGTAGGGACAAGTGGTTTGTTTTATATTAACAAGGTAGGACAGCTGATCAATAAAACTGCAAAGAATCGTCAAAATAAAACGGGGAGTTTCTTAATTCGACTAATACTGCAACATGGTTTCAGCATTTCACCGTTGTACGCTCTCCTTCTTTATATGCTCTTGATATTAACCTGTATATTAGGGGGAAAACGATTAAGAATTCTCTGCGTCAGAACGGTTTGGAATTCTCACCGCTGGAATGGATTGGAATTATCCAAGTTGGACAACGCCCCGAGGATTCCGCGTTTATCCACGTTGTTACCGATATTTGTTAGTATTCTACAGTTACGGCAACTGCGACCAAAAACACGCATGGCCATCTAACACCATCTATCTGTACACTATCAGACAGTATTCATCTACAATAAATTATAAGTATATTACAACCTAATGCCGAGTAATTTTACCTAGCTATTAGTTGAACCAATACAGAATACATTTTTACTTAATATAAATATAAATTAATTGAGGCGCAGTCTCACCTTTCCACCACCCCCTCGTACTGCCTTTATCATTACAGGAAAGCCGATTTTCTGTGCTTCCTCTGCCAACTTGGCATCCGTCTGGTCTTCGCCGTGGTACCCTTCAATGACCGGCACGCCAGCAGCTGACATGATGGCTTTAGACGTGCTAATGTAGAATCGGGAATTTCAATCATTAGAATTAGTCCACACATCGAAAAACTTTCGTTTTTCACGTTTTCATCTTCCATTCTGGTTTTTCCATTCTGGAGGGGTTCTATTCCGGAATTCTAATCTTGGCCACGCCCCCAACTGCTCTGACAATATCTAGTTAGTGTGATGAGTACGACAAGATTACACTATGACAGCATATGGCTTCATCATAATATATACATAGATATCAAGAGCGGATAATACCTAGAGTGTACAACGGAAAAACGGGAAAATAGTGCTATTTCACGACTACATTATTCTACTTTGCCTGCGAGTCTAGAATAATTTCATGGTATTGCATTAAGCAGAATTCTTTGCTCTCTAAAACAAGACCAACCGCTTGTCAATACGATACTCCTAGGCGGAG